GTACTTTTTTAAAATGCAACAAAACCTGTAAGCCTGCGCAACAAAAATGAGTGATTTGTACTTTAGCAGTATATAAAATTGTCCAAGAGCTTATTTTTTTATTCCTATGAAAAAAATCACATTTGAATTATGTCGTACAATAAAGAAAGTCTAAATTCAGACCAAGGATTATTGAAGCTTGAAGTATTTTTCAATTTGTTTCTTGGAATATGGATGAGGTGCTGGAGAAGACAAGTAAGTTGTTCTGTTATGCCCAACTTGTTTACATCGACTGCATTTGATAGACTTGAATGATACTGATGATTCAGTCGCAGGTATATGCCTCTTCTTTTGTCTTCTTCCTTGTAAAATCTCTACATCAAGAGGTTTTGTGATCTCAGATTGTACATTTTGTGGTATTTCTCATGATTTTTGATCTCCCACGGTATTCACATGTCCTTCATATGTTTTCAACCATGTTTCCCTTGAATACCAATTTGAGCAGTAATCAGATTTCTGCAAATATCTCTTATTAATAGCAGCAATTACATGTGGACAGGGCAATTCATCAAGTTGGAATTCCAGGCAGTCATAAGTTCTCCTCTTTAAGTCCACAATGAATTCAATTCCTTCACTATTTATTCTAAACAACATTGAGTCAAGGTTGAACACCTAACAAGGAATAAAAAATTAAGACAAATTATATTAGTGTATTTTTGCTTCAAAAAGAAAAAGTATGAAATTTTTTAAATGTAAGAAGTAAATCACTGCAACAGATATAAAAAGCTGAAGTTGATAAATATACTCACAAACATTTTGCAAGCCAAGTCCATCTTCTTAGTCATCTCTTCTTCTGCCCATATTGACACTCTGTGAAAAGTTTCATTTGCCTTTTTTCTCCGTTCATAAAACCACTCTCCCAGCTTTTCTTGGATAAAATCTAACATTCTTAAAATAGGCATTTCTCTCCCTTTTAGTAAAATGGAATTCATTGATTCTACCATGTTTGTTGTTAGTATATTATAACGTCGTCATGGGAACCACGTTCAATCCCATCTCTCGGGAGGCTCTTCCATTATGTAATTGTATGTTTTCTTGTCAATACTTTTGAGTTGGGACATTAACTGATTAAAATCTTCATGTTTGTATGACCTTGCAGCACTTTGAAAAAGATTTATTACTGTGACCTTTGCATGTCTTTGCTTTAAATTTTTCTCAAAGTGATAGAGGCAGATACCATGGTGAGCTTCAGGAAATTTTTTTTAATACCATTTGTGATCGATTGGTTTCTATCTGATAAGAAAACCAGTTCACGACGGACTTGAATTGATTTTCTCATTTCCCCCAAGAACCAAATGTATGCCTCATTGTTTTCTGAATCTGCTACACTAAAACATAGAGGAAAGATTTGATTGTTTGCATCCTTTGATACAACAACAAATAGAACACCACGATATTTTGACTTCAAAAACATTGCATCTACTGCAATAACGGGTCTACAGTAGGACCAACCAGCTACTGATGCCGCAAGAGCGAAGAATAAGTAAGCAAATCTCTACATTGAAACACAAAAAAATAAATCATAAGGTGTGAAGTTTTTCAAATAGTAACATTTGAAACTTCAGGCTGATGGTTAGTATTGTTTTGCTTACCTATTCTGCGCATCTCTTTTTTTGCTTGTGTATGTTCCTGGGTTTCTGGCCACCATCATGTGTAGGTATGAAGGAAGAATCTGGTAGTTCTCTTCAGGTGTTCCCCTTATGCAAGCAACAGTTTTTTGAATAGCACGCCATGCCTTGAGATAACCAATGTCAATTCCAAATTTTTTTTTCATTTCATTTTATACAAAGGCTGGTATAACCTCTATCCTTTTGTCTCGAACATGTTCTATAATTTGTTCACTTATAAAATTTGATGTAGCATGCTTCTGATATGATTTTCTTGCATCAACTGAGCATTTATGGATGTTATGATATTTTATCACCCTGAACAGCATGGAATGGTAACACGTACATTCCAACCACATTTGTTCACGATGCATTTCAGCTCGTATCTCTTGGAACATGATCTAACAGCAGTGAATTCAACTTTTTGATTTATCTCCAAGCTGCAGAAAAATTTAGTCATGTTTTGTTTGTTCTCAAAGATTGATCCAACTCTTACTTCCTCAGGCAACGCATCGTGCCTAAGTATTTTACATGGTGAAGATTCTTTTACCTTTCTCCTCACTCTTTTTCTTGATTTCTGAGAAGCACAAGAACTTTCAGCAATTTCTTCAATTCTATGTGATGTTATCGATATAAGCTCCATGTTTACTTCATCTTCATTGTTGTTTATCATTGCAGAAGGTGAAAAAAAGCTTTGTTGGAGTGTGTGTTGGTTGTCAATTTGCATTATTAGCTGTCCTTCTTCTTCTTGGCCATCGACAAACTGGTATGAATTTATTGGAGTAGGGGGTAATTGTTGCAGCACTATGTATTCTGAAGCAGCTGTAATGTTAGAAGGTTGTTGCCCGTTGTCTACTTCCATTATTGGCACTCGTACTTCATGTTGATAGTCAGCAAAAGGTTCTAAATCTATCGCATATGCAAGAGATTGGTTGAATGCTGCTGATTCTGAAGGTTGTATTTTTTTTATGACGAAATGACAATTCTTATAGGTTGAATCAGTTGTAAGCAAATGTATTCACGTATTGAGTTCTTCATCTGAAGTTACAAACATTCCTTTGCTTGTATTTAGTTTGATATCAAACCATACTTTTAATGCATATCTGGTTGAATCAATATTTGCAACTTCACTAATTTTCTTCAGGAAAGTATTGAATGATATGTCCTTATTAAGTAGAACAAGTTTTGTATCATGATCCAAGTATTTGAAATCAGGAGTCCAACTCCTATTAAAAGTTATAACAATACAAATCGAACTCATCCTGCATATTCATATTTAGTGGCAAGTATTAGGAAAGTGAACAGAAGAATTTTTTAGGTTGTTTGTGCTGAAGTTCTTACAAATAAACTAAATCACTTAAGCATCTTCTGCTGAAGTTTTTTTTGGAAAAAGATGTATGACATAATTAATGAATCCTGCAAAGAAAACTTCAACTTATAAGTGCTAAAGTTTTTAGAGATAAGCTTAATAACTTCAGCATATTAGCTGAATTTTTTTTATGATGGTGATTCATCAATGCAGGGGAAAAAAACTTCAGCACCTAGACCAAAGTTTTTTTGGTGCAATATGATTTTTTTAATTTAGCCAGTGTAGGAGGAAAACTTTAGCCCTCCTGATTAAGTTTTTAAGTAATAACTAAAAAACTTCAGCACCTAGGCCGAAGTTTTTTTGGTGCAATATGATTTTTTAATTTGGCCAGTGTAGGAGGAAAACTTCAGCCCTCCTGCTTAAGTTTTTAAGTAATAACTAAAATACTTCAGCACCTAGGCCGAAGTTTTTTTGGTGCAATATGATTTTTTAATTTGGCCAGTGTAGGAGGAAAACTTCAGCCCTCCTGCTTAAGTTTTTAAGTAATAACTAAAATACTTCAGCACCTAGGCCGAAGTTTTTTTGGTGCAATATGATTTTTTAATTTGGCCAGTGTAGGAGGAAAACTTCAGCCCTCCTGCTTAAGTTTTTAAGTAATAACTAAAATACTTCAGCACCTAGGCCGAAGTTTTTTTGGTGCAATATGATTTTTTAATTTGGCCAGTGTAGGAGGAAAACTTCAGCCCTCCTGCTTAAGTTTTTAAGTAATAACTAAAATACTTCAGCACCTAGGCCGAAGTTTTTTTGGTGCAATATGATTTTTTAATTTGGCCAGTGTAGGAGGAAAACTTCAGCCCTCCTGCTTAAGTTTTTAAGTAATAACTAAAATACTTCAGCACCTAGGCCGAAGTTTTTTTGGTGCAATATGATTTTTTAATTTAGCCAGTGTAGGAGGAAAACTTTAGCCCTCCTGCTTAAGTTTTTAAGTTACTAAAAAACTTCAGCACCTAGGCCGAAGTTTTTTTGGTACAATATGATTTTTTAATTTGGTCAGTGTAGGAGGAAAACTTCAGCCCTCCTGCTTAAGTTTTTAAGTAATAACTAAAATACTTCAGCACCTAGGCCGAAGTTTTTTTGGTGCAATATGATTTTTAAATTTAGCCAGTGTGGGAGGAAAACTTCAGCCCTCCTGCTTAAGTTTTTAAGTAATAACTAAAATACTTCAGCACCTAGGCCGAAGTATTTTTGGTGCAATATGATTTTTTAATTTAACTAGTGTAGGAGGAAAACTTCAGCCCTCCTGCTTAGGTTTTTAAGTAATAACTAAAAAAATTCAGCACCTAGGCCGAAGTTTTTTTGGTGCAATATGAAATTTTAACTTTATGTTTTATGGGTTTTTACCTAGTGTACGAGGAAAACTTCAGCTTTTAATTATTGACAAAAAAACTTCAGCAACAAAACAATCATATAAAATTTAATATAATTTCTTCTTCGTTGTGTTATTTGCCAGCTCGTTTACTAAATAACTTCAGCTTAGAATGTTAGAATTCATCGTCAAATAGATTTAGAATTGCAAATTCAGCATATCAGTGAAGTTTGTCAAACAACTTCAATCAATCAATCAGAAAATATATAATTCAAAAACTATTTTGAATTCTGGAGATGAATTTGAATACTTACATTGTATTTGAATTTGAATTTGAATGCGAGACGCGTTCTCAGGAGAGACGGACTGATGGAGGAGATACAGAAGAGATCTGGAATTTGAATCTGGGAATACGGAGGAGAGACAGACTCTTATATGTTTTGGAAGAGGTAAAATTGTCATATTATTACGGATTTTTTGTTAGTTGATTAGAAAATCAATAGTTTTTAAAAACAAGATATAGATTAAAAGGTGACATAAAAATAGTGTACTAGTGCAAATCCCCCTTCGCATGTATAAACACAAGAGCCCAACCGAAGGACCCAAAGCCCATTAGTGTCGTAGCACTTGAAGACAAGCAACGCATTGAATTTTGTAGTCAACAACGTAACACTCACTCATTGTCAACTTCCATAACCGTTTCTAGGACAAGATCCCCTTCCACCTGCCCCATAGTTCCTTCCCCTGTAAATAGCCGGCTTTCTCGTGTACTTCCCCTTCAAACTTTTCTTCGCAACTAAGAATCCCAAAGACCCATCACACGTCGAAATTACCAAAACAAATATTTTCAACAACCAAATTTCTAAAACCTTTAATTCCTGACCCCTTCAGTTTCTTTTTTTCTTCTTTTAATCCTTGATATCTATTACTAGGCGTAATAATTAGTTTTCCACATAAGGAAACGGTCTTCTTAATACTATGATCAATATCAAGAAAAGGTTCTAAGGGATTGATCAACATCTGATTTTTTTTTTCTCAGGCGCTGACAAGGGTAACTTTGTTTTTGTAAGTTTCCTTCCTATTGATTCCTTGTTTTGACTTTTGGAATTAGCATAAATTCACGATTTTTTGTGTTTATAAACCAACATCTTATTGGTTTGCTTGTCATTGCCCCTTCCTTTTATCTTTCATGAGCCGAGGGTCAACCGAAAACAGTCTTTCTGCCTTTCTGAACATAGGGGTAACGTCTGCACACACTATCCTCTCCAGACCCCACTTGGGATTATATTGGTTTTTTGTTTTGTTGTTGTTGTTGTTGTTGTTGTATATCCGAGGAGGAGGTTTGGGGTTCTCAAATAATACCATGAATCCTCTAAAATTTCAATTCAGGTTCTAAAACTTAATTAATTGAGTAATTGAATAACTAAAACATAAGTTGTTGATGAATTGATGGTAGCTAAATTAGAATATTTGATGTCCTCTTAAACCATAATTAATGGATTGAAGGTTGTCTCCCACCCTTGTTGTTATGATTTTCATTTGTGTTGTGTTTCTTTGTTATGAGTTTAATTATGGTTCTAATTGCTTACCACAACTTAGAAATGTTCCAAAGCTCTTACCTTTGGAACATTTCCTCTATAAACTAATATTTTCTTTTTCTTTTTTGTTAATGTATTAAAAAAGGGGATAAATTTTGGTGAGGATGGGAATCATGGTGGCGTTGATATTGGTATCGACGATGATGGTGATGAGCAACGTGCACGCTGGAGATACGAATCCTGTTTTTGATCCTTGTTCGGACACAAAAATTCAGAGATGGGATGGTTTCACTTTTGGGCTTGCGTTTTCTTCTAAGGAATCGTTCTTTTCCAATGGAACGCAGCTCTCTCCTTGTGACCAACGACTCTCCCTTTCTGGCAATTCAGCTCAACTGGCTGTTTTTAGGCCCAAAGTGGATGAGATTTCACTCCTCACAATCACTAGCAGCGACTTCAATCCTGTAAGTCCTCATACATACTAAATCTTATCTCTTATTTCTCTTTGACTGGTTGTTAGAAAGAAAGCGAATAGTATCTCATAAGGAAGTGTCTCTTGTGGATTTCTGGCCACTGTGTCAGGACGAGCAAATATGTTGATCTCATGGTATAACATTAACTTAATGTCTAAACTGCATAGAAACAATTTTTGGAAGTAGACTACAGATCTATTAACAAATTTTAATATGTACATTTTGCTTGGTTTCTTACATGTCTAGGTCTTCATATTTTCACATTATTAGACCATGTTTTTTAGACCTCTTCATATTTTTCACATTACAAACAAAGAGATTAGACTTTGTTTCTCTTCCTCTTTTGATAGTTAGCAAACTAAAATGTTTAATCTTTTGCCTTGAGGACTAATTATCATTTGGAGTGCATTTTACTTGAATGATTCTGTCTCCACCTATGATATAGATTCATCTTTTATTTGGGTAGAAACGACAAGGTAATTCAATAGGAATTTGTCACCTTCTACCTAACTGTCTAACAAACATGTTTGGTAGTATTTCTAGGTTCAAACAAAGATACAATAGACAAAAGTATCTCAAGCTTTTGTTTTCTCCTGCTCATTACCAACCTATTTCATCTAACTTATGTTCATCCATTGAAAAATTGAACCAACTAGATGCTTAGACCAATCATGGGAACCATGAATTCTTTCCCTAGATTAGTTTATAATAATTCTTTTTTCCACTTGAAAGATAGTGACTAGTGTCGACTTTCACCTCAACTATACAGATTATTGAGCTACCAACAACAACAACCACATACCCAATTTAATCTCACAAATGGAGTCTTGGAAGGGTAATGTGTACGCAGACCTTACCGCTATCTAGTAAGGTAGAGAGCGTGTTTCCGGTAGACCAATCTTTGGAATTCTCTTTTGTGGGTTCTCTACTCTTTGTGAGCTTTATCTTGAGTAGGAAAATAATCGGCATTCATGCTTCCCATAGAAATGTTCGTTCTCTGAATTAAATGCTAGTGTGGATAATATCTGCCTGTCAGATGTAGCATATACAAATAGGTGGATACAGTTGAGCAAGAATGATGAAGCTTTATGAAGGAATAGATAATCTGTAGAAGCCCTATCTTGAGTCCAAGTCGCTCTGATCAAAGTAAAAAACATAAAAAAAAGTACGAGACTGGAGAATCGGCCACGTTCTAAGATTATGCAATGTTTGTCATGAAATATAGTTCAATATTACCAAATCTTGGGCTACGAAATTGGGTGTGATCCCATCTGTTTCTTTATTAGCGGGCAGGATTACCTTGGCAACATGTGCTGTGGACTAGACGTGCTCGGTGCATTAGTCCAGGTGCAGGCAAGCTGGCCTACACCAGCGATATTCAATAGAATTTTGCGAGCATTTTGACTAATTAACTGTCAACATGTTCTTCAATCACTGTTCAATATGCTGGTCTTTATAATGTTTTTTACTAGTAGTAATAGTTACTATTCAAAAAGCACTATCATCTTTAATGATTGTTCAAATTTCTCAGAGCAAAGCTGGTGGTTATATGGTTGCCTTTGCTGGACGCAAATATGCTGCCAGATCACTGCCCGCTTTTGTGGCAGACAATACTCACACCATTACAAGCTTCACTCTGGTAAGTCTTTGGACATCTCAAGTTTTGTTAACAATAGTAAAGCATAACGCTTTGTTGCATCAATGAGCTTTGTCTTGTGTGTTTAGGTACTTGAATTTCAAAAGGGCACTCTGCAGAACTTATTTTGGAAGAAATTTGGCTGCGGTTCATGTACCGGGGGTTCTTTTGTTTGCCTTAATAAGACTGATTGTGCAGTCCCAAATAATAAGTGCAGTGGCAATGGTGGATCCGTTGACTGCAATGTGGGAATACAATTGGCATTCTCAGGCACAGATAAGAATGACGACGTGCTAAACTCGTGGTATGAGGTTAAAAACCTCCGACAATACTCCCTCTACGGCTTGTTTCAAGATGTCAGTGATTCTCTCACAAGTCCATTTAAGAACCTGTTTTAGGAGTTCTTGTTTGTATAATGACCATCAGATTTCTGTTGTGCTTCTCCACTTAACTAGAATAATTATGTCCTATGCTCATTAATCAGATCTATGTTCGAGAGAATAACTTGGCGATTACTACACAGAATCTAGCCTGTTTTTGCTTGTACAGATCTTTTAATGGTCCAAGAATTACCCTTAGGTGCAGAAAGGACATTTTGTAGTTTAAAATTTCTCATTGTTTAACATGAAATCTGATTTATTGGTGTTTCCCATTGTCCTGCTTCCTTTCCTTTTTCTTCTAGATTTGGGG